CAAAAACCAAAAATATTTACCATCTGGCTCTTTAAAGGAAGTTCACCAACTTCTTAGGAAATCAGAAGAAATCTGGATTGGATAAGAACTTTTTCCCTTCCTTAGGAAGATTGCTCCACAAAATGTATACCAAGTAAAATAAATGAGATCTAAGAGGGTGCAGTTTTTTAAAACAAGTATCTGAAGGGCCAAAACCGATGTTAGACTTCACTAATGAAAATAATAAAAAGCAAGCAACTAACTACTGGGAAAGTCTCTGCACTAATGTGTGCTCCAATATGGGTGACTTCTGGAATCACAAAGTCTTGTATTAAAAAACCAAAAGGTGGGCCAGGATGTAGCTCAGTGGCGCTGTGCCTGCCAGGCAAGCGGAAAGTCCTGAGTTCGATGCCTGGTACTGCAAACAAAACAAAACACCCAAAGGCTGCCTGTGATCCCAGCAGTCGGGAGGCTGAGGCAGGACTGCTGTGAGTTTAAGGCAAGCCTGGGCTACATAGTGAGTTTAGGGCCAGCCTGTACTACAAAGTGAGACCCTGCCTCAAAAACAAAACAAAACAGTGATGTTTTATCACACAAATTAAGGATGATACTGATTCACAACGAACATCAGACATTTTACTTTTTGTTCTTATACCATTAAGACCACTTTCAGATTAGTCTATTGCAGTGTTTATACAGTTTGCGCTTGGTAAAATAAAATCATAAACTCCTGACACATCTCATTCACTTTTTCAGAGAACCAAGACCAAAACATTTTCATGGAAAAGACAGCACATTCAGCCCAAGCAGTAAGTTTTCAGTCAGTTTAACTTCATGCTTAATAGCACCGAAGCCTAGCAATAAAGAAACCATCCTGTGACACAGACTTATAAAAAGCCATTTTCAACTGTGCAACACAAAACAGAAAAACTATCCAATCACTAAACTCCCCACCATGAATGCAATCATTATGTACTGCAAACATTTACTGATAAAAAGCTAAAAAAGCAAAACAATGTGATAGGTGGCCACAGCCCATGCAAGTTATTTCCCTGAGGATACTTTATAATAGCATAATAAAGAAAAAAATCAAATGAATATTAAAATTACTTTGAAAATATCTAAGCTTTATTTCAACTTAATAGAAATCTCTTAAGAGTGACCATAAAACTGCATTCTAATGATGAACTGGACTCTATTAGAAAGCCACTTTTGTTTGATACAATTTACATTTAGAAAATCCTAGCTACACTTCCAACATAGTATACAAAGCAGTTTCCAGAGCAAAGAAGGTTAAACACTAGATGTAATACTAGGCCACTTCTCCAGATTGTCTTTTCATTGCAAGGGGGACTACAGAAACAATGTTTAGCTGATTGCACTTTAAAAGGCCCAAAACACTAAACAATTTAGCTCCACATATGCCAATCTACCAAATCTTTGAAATCTTATTAAAAAAATTACTCAAAATCCAATTAGATATGCGGAGGTGGTGGGGGTAAGAGGCAGAAAAATCAACCCTAATTCCAGATATCTCAATTATTAGAAAGAATAAACTTCAAGTTTAATAGTCCTACTTATTTTCGAAAATGAGAAGACACAACTTTCTAATTAGTAAAAAGGAATGTAAAATGATTGCATTTTTCTTTTAACAAGATAGCTAAAAATGAGGTAATTACACAGTATAATCCATCAAAAACGGGCATCTTATGCCATGGCTGCTGTTCAGAATAATTTACGGGGCTGAGGAATGAATAGCTCTAGTCCAGAACAGATAATTTACAGGCTCTAGTTATTTGAATCAACGAAAGGACCTTAAATTTTTAAAAAGGACTTAATTACACTGCTTCTCAGACTTCAAATTAATTACAACACGGGTCACATAAACTGATCGTAACTGCTACAGTAGTTCTAAAACATCAATCAGCCTAGTGCGAGTCCATCACAGCTCCTGAGGAATAAATGAAGGTTTACTTAAACACTAACTGAAATTGTGCATGTTCTCCATCCCTCAGTGAAAGCATTAAATAAAGCTACAAAACTGCGGCTCTCTCTTCACACACACACATCCTTTACACACATCGCCTTTTTTTTTTTGTACCGGGGATCAAACTCGGTACCTTGGCCTTGCAGAGCAGGCGGCGAAACCACTGAGCTAAATCCCCGGCCCAACATTGCCTTTTTTGACTCAATACTTTTCTGAGACTCCCGATCCCTTTTTTGTCTTAAGGCGAACATAAATTTTCAGGCCCTAAGAAAACTAACCACGGTAAGCTAAGAGACGCTGTTGCGGGAACCGAAGGGAACGCGGGGCTGGAGATGAGATGAGGAAAGTTCTGGAAAAAAAGGTACTCCCTGTGGCTCCCCCACCCCCACCGACACCGCCTAACTTCCCCCTCCCGACAGCAGGCAGCCATGATGGCGGGCGCAAAAAAAGGCCGCGGCGCCATTTTGTCCACACAGAGGCGCGGAACAGTTCTGGGAACCCCTCACCCTGTCTTTCAAACTAGCAGGAAAACAGCCCTGGCTTTAAACTGAACACCCGGCACCTACCGCCATAGTCCAGAGTTCTGGCCGCTAATGCGGCGCCTCCACTCAACGCGTTCAACCGTACCGGCCGCCCCGAACCCTCACTACAGATTAAATCGCTCGCGCGAGAGACCCGGATGGCACAAAAGGGATGAGGCCCAGCGAGTCGCGCAGCTTGCTGGGAAAAAGGGGTGGTGACGAGTTTCTATAGCAACGTGGTTCGAGGCAGTGATTGGTTGGTCTGTCGAAGGCGGTGCGTAGAGCCAGAGAAAAGGGCAGGGCCTAAAATACAGCCTAGAATACAGTTGCTAGATGGGAAGGAAAACAGTTTAGGGTGGGGCGACTTCCTGTTCGATTTTAAAGCAATCTTGGCCTTCTCCGGCCCCCGTAGAAGGGACTGGACGTGATATTCTCCCGCCAATTCAAACCCCAGGGAAGGAACCGTAAGAGGTTGGTGGGGACGAAATACTTGTGTGTTCCCTTTTAGTTTCTTCAGTTGCAGGTGAGGAGGGGCAGTTACGCTTCTTTAGGGAGCTGGGAGTGGGGTAGCAGTGACTTCAGCCTATTTGGGGGTGCCTTCCCTTGTAGACGCTGGTGGGAGAGGTTGGCGTCGGTTCCTGCTGGCAGCCGTGTCCGTGTCAGAGCCTTTTTGTGTGGAAGCCTGATTAACAATGTTTTATCTCGTTTGTCCTGTATAAACTAATCTCTTCTCCATCCCGCTGGGTGTTCTCAAAACGTCAGTCAACCTATCCTTCGTCTGCTTAGTACCGCCCCATCCTGAATTGAGGTCAAAATTTTTTTTTTCCTTCCTGGTACTGGGGGTCGAACCCAGGGCCTCGAGCATGCCAGAGAAGTGCTCTACCACTGAACTACACTCACAGCCCCTTGTTTTATTTTGACATAAAAATGTACAAAGGTATGCTTGTACTCCTAGCACTCGGGAGGCTGAGGCGGGAGGATGGCCGCGGGAGGCCAGCCTGAGCTACACAAGGAGACTGAAAAAAAATTTTTTTTTTTTTGGTACTGGGGATCGAACTCGGATCCTCCCGCTTGCAAGGCAGGCGGCGGAACCACTGAGCTAAATCCCCGGCCCCTGAAAAAAAATTTTTTACCTAAAGTGTACCAATAAATGTTTTGCTATAACATTCCTAAAAAAATTTTTATTTAAAAAATACTTATTTTTTGCAAAGATGTCCAGGCTGGCCTCCAACTTTCTTTTCTTTTCCTCTTTTTTGAGACGGGGACTATATGTAGCCCAGGCTGGCCTTGGACTCGTGGCCATCCTCAGGCTTCTCAGCCTCCCGAGTGCTGGGATCACAGGCGTGCGCCACTTCGCCCCGCTTGGCCTCCAATTTTCTATCATCTTTCCTCAGCCTTCCGAATACCTGGGATAACAGCCAGGCGCCACTGCACCTGGCAAAATCCCTTGTAGTTGAGGTTTTGTTTCGCTCGTCCTACTTTTTCCACACCATATTCCTCTCTCGGTGTGGCCCAACAGCTGCCTTAATTCTCTGCATCCTTTCAGCCTTTGTATTCTTGTTCTCTTTGCCTCCATAGTTGTTCTGCCTGAGCTTGGGATCATTGTTTTCTGCTATTTAGATATCAGATCAAATAACACCTCTTTCCCTTCCCAAAGAGGTCCTGAAGCCACCTTTCCACCATTTATCCAAACGTTTTTTTTCAGAACACTGAGCTCTGTTTATAATTTATGCATTTACTTATTTTTTATTGAGAGCCAGTTTAAAAAGGTTGGGTTCAACACTTTTTTACAAAATAAAAAATAAGTTGTTTGCATTAAATGAATAAAGCATTCAGAATTGCTGGGCACACAAGAACGGTCAATACGTGTTAACTATTTTTTCTCATTCTTCTCGCAAGATTGTAAACTTAATTGGCCAGAGATTTAGCTCAGCAGCTCTGCCTCCTGCCTCTCAAGTGCAAGGTCCCAAGTTTGATCCCTGGTACCAAAAATATAAATAAATAGATAAATAAATAAACGTATTAATGGCAAAGACATTAGATCTCATTCAAACCTGTATTCACATCTCCTGGAACAGCGCCTGGAATATAATAGGCTAAAAAAAACATAGAAAGGGCTGGGGCTGTCCCTTGGCGTGAGGCTCTGGGTTCAATTCCCAGTACAGCAAAAAACCCCCACAAAACTGTTGACCCCAATGTATTCCTCCTAATCTCTAATCTCTTCCCAATTCCCATCCAAACATCAGCCGTAACTATTCTTGTCTCCCAACGTTCTTATATTCGTGTGTGTGTGTATATATATAT